TCTGATAAACAGCCTTAAAATAGAAAAATCTCCAGATACTGCACCAAGCTGGAACTACAAAAAGGCAGATTGGAAACTTTTTCAAGAACTTGCAGACTCAAACTGCAAAGTAATCAGCCTCTCAGGTAAGGTTGACAGAGATGCACAAGAATTCAACAAGGCCATACTGAATGCAGCAACAACAACAAAAAAAAAACATTCCTAGAGGAAAGAGGCACAATTACAAGCCATATTGGTCACCAGAACTGGAAGTGCTTCACGGTTCGCTCTGTGATGCTAGAGATAGCATGGAAGCTGATCCAACAGACGAACATGTGAAGCAACACAACAAAGCAAGGGCTCTCTATGTCAGAGAAAGAAACCTACAGTGTAGAAAGTCCTGGAAAGAAAAGACTGCTTCTCTGAACATGGAAAAAGACACCACAAAATTGTGGAGACTGACAAAGGCACTTAATGATGACAACCCATCTCACGGAAAAACAGTTCTCCAACAAGAAGGAAATCTACTCACAGGGAGGGAAGCAGCGACTCTGATGGCCCGAAACTATGAGAAAGAAAGCTCATATTCAGTAACCCTGGAGCAAAAGAAAGCAGTCCGAGATGGGATAAACTCCATATTCAAAAAAGCCTCTTGTGAGCCATGCATGGAGACAGACATCACTCTAACTGAGCTACTAAGAGCAATGAGAAAACTCAAGTCAAAGAAGGCACCTGGCCCAGACGAAGTTTCAAACGACATGCTCAAACATATGGGTCCAGTAGCACAAAACATCTTACTCCAGATATACAACTATAGCTGGAAACTAGGCAGAGTCCCAGATATCTGGAAAAATGCTATAATCCACCCTATCCTCAAAAGTGTCAAGGACAAGAAGGACCCTCAGAGCTACAGGCCTGTCAGTCTGCTAAGCTGCCCCGCAAAACTGATGGAGAGAGTGCTAGCCACCAGACTTCAGTGGTTCCTAGAAACCAATCACAAACTGGATTCCGCTCAGACAGGCTACCGACAGCACAGAAGCACTGATGACCAGGTAGCATACCTTACACAGGACATAGAAAATGGCTTCCAGGAAAAGAAGAAAACATTCACAGTCTTTTTTTATATGTCCAAGGCCTTTGACAAAGTATGGAAGGATGGCTTGATGCTAAAGCTCTTACATAGTGGAATAAGAGGCAGAATGTACTACTGGATACAAGACTTCCTATCACACAGGCGGGCATCTGTGAAACTAGATGAAGCACATAGTCCCAAATTCAAGCTGAGAGCAGGAGTACCACAGGGTAGTGTATTGTCTCCAGTCCTGTTCTTGATTTACATCAATGACCTACCTCAAGCTTTACCCAGACATGTATCACATTCTCTTCATGCAGATGACCTAGCTGTGTGGTACACCTCTGAGTTCATTGGACCTGCCACATCAAAACTCCAGGAAAGTGTGAATAGTGTCATAAACTGGGCCAACAAATCGGGCCTCGAAGTAAACAAAAACAAAACTGTAGCAACACTCTTCTCATTGTCTACAAAGGAGGAAAAGTTTACATTAAAATTCAACAATGATGCTGTTCCACGCTCCAATACTCCAACCTTCCTGGGAGTCAAGCTTGACAGTCGTCTAACATGGAAACATCACATACTAGAAACTAACAAAAATGCTATGAGAAAACAAGGTGTGATGAAGAAATTGGCAGGCACCACTTGGGGAGCAGACAGTTGTATCTTGAAGCAGGTATACACCGGCACAGTCAGACCAACTCTCGAATACGCATCATCGTCATGGATAACAGCAGCCCATTCCAATAAACAGATACTAGACAAAACGCAAAATAGAAGTCTGCGTACAATTCTGGGAGCCATAAAATCTACACCTATTGTAGGAATGGAAAAGGCAGCCAACATCATCCCCTTAGAAGAAAGAAGAAGGACAAAAGCAATTCTACATGCTGAAAAAATGAAGAGAATGCCTAACCACCCATTACACGAAAAATTGGCAACCAGGACAAAAAAACGAATAAAGCGCACAAGCCTAAACCATCTAACTAAGGAATTTGGAAAGTCATTCTCTTCACTACTTAACCAACAATGTACACCTGAAGAGTTATCTTTCGATCTCTGGGACTCCGAATTATTGACACTCAATGTGTCAACATCCATCCCGAACCTGGGAAACAAAGATGCTGAGCCCGCTTTAGTGAAGAAAGCACTCACAATGGAACACCTCAACAACATGTTCCCACAGGACAGCTGGACGAGAATCTACACGGATGGATCAGCAAAAGAGGCAACTACGAATGGTGGGGCAGGTGTTTACATAAAACACCCAGATGCCACTACTGTGTCCCTAGCAGCCCCCACCGGACGAACTTGCTCTAACTACAAGGCAGAGCTCTCAGCCCTTTTGATGGCAGCGCAGTACATGAACAATCTGCAAATTACCGCAGGCAGGATAGTTTTTCTGACTCACCGTCAGCTACACAGGCCCTGGAGTCCAAACCTACCGACAGCACACTACAAAGTCTAACACAGGAACTTGCTATGTTGTCAAATAAGGCAGAAATTCACTTGTAGTGGATTCCGTCTCACTGTGGCATCAAAGGCAATGAAAGCGCAGATGCTTTAGCCAAGGAAGGCAGTAACAAACCACAGACCTACCAGCCACTATTTTTTCTAGAAGTCAAAACTCTCATTAACAGAAAATTAGAAACAGATTGGAAAACCAACACTGGTTATAGCTACGGAAAAGATTTTCTGAAACACTTGAACAGAACAGACCAAGTCACATTTTTCGCTTACGCACTGGACACTGCAGACTCAATAAACACTCATATAAATTAGGTATGAGCCAAACAGCTCTCTGCCAGTGCCTTCGTGCTGAACAGACTCCAGAACATGTCCTGCAAGACTGTCCTCTCCTGGCGGAGCTGCGGAGCGACATATGGCAACACCCAGTAGAACTGACAACTAAGCTTTGGGGAAACCTAAGAGACCTTGAAAAGACATCTCAGTTTATGACCCACAGTGGATTATGCGCATGACCAGAGATCGCTGATGATGATCATCAAGTGCGTGAGCTATCATGCCTCTCCACAATGTGCGATCTCCTGCAGCATGTATAAGTTCGTGTGCTGACACACCTCCATGTCAGGCAACAAGATTTTCAAGAATCTTCTCTCGCTGTCTTCCTCTATCCCTCCTTCCACAGATCTTTCCAGTGGTCACAACATTTTCTATTTTCTCATATTTCCGAAAAATGATGACTGTCTTCTTCTAATTCTGTGATGTGTTGTCTTCGGGCTCCTACCTCTTTCAAAACCTCTTGGTTGCTCTTTTTGCTGTCCAAGGTATTTTAAGCATTTTTCTGGAAAACAACATCTCAAGTCTAATTGCAACTACAAGTTTAACTGACCTCCCACTAAGACATACGGACACATGTACCAGTTTCGGCCCAAATAAATCGAACATGTACGAGAATTTGGAATACCTTATTGCTGAAACACATAACTGGTTTTTCTAATCATCTGTCAGACAACAGCAATACAATAACTTATATAAAGCATTAAATGATGGTTTCGCACCACTGAAAATTCCGTCAGATTGCAAAACTAGACGGTTATCAATTCAACCAGCTGTTCAAAGAATTGTGAACCAATGGTTGAAGTTAAAGACACAATTCGGAAAAACAAGTTCTTTTCTTCTTCTTCTGCGTTCGACATCAGCACGTCCGGCTGTATACAAATAGAGAAGGCCGTGGACATCAGTCATGATAAACACCGAGTCCCGTCTGGGTCAAAAATAGGATTGTGCTTTTAAGGTCGCCACCGGTCCCCCGTAGCTTCTCTCGCAATGTGGATCCCCTGGAAAAAAAAACAAGTGAAAAGTGCTACACAGCTGAAATACTATATGAAATGTACAGTGATGAAATTTGGCATAACAAGTCGTTTTACCACCTATTTTAATGGAAGTACAAAAATTTAATAAACTGTTCGAATCTAAACATGTTGATAAAGTTAAATTACTTTACGATCTCACTTTGCTATTTCACTCAGTTGGTAAAAGACTGGTGTTGCCAACTTCTAAAGCTGATTTGCTCACTTGCACTATAGAGAGCTATTTGGCGCCTAAGCCATACCTTAGATATCAAATTGAATAAAAAAAATTGATGATTTAAAAGCAAAAGGACTGTTAACAGAAAACCAAGAAAACAACTTAAGAAAGCGCTGTCAAGATTTCCTTATCTCATTATTCAAGCAACTGAAGCAGTGACTTCCTGAAAATCTAGATATATTGACAAAATATTTATCTTTTCTGTGAGCAACATACTTCAGCCAGTAAAGGACATACCTAAATATTGTTGACTAGACAAACAAAACAGAAACTGAAGCAAATTATATCAAATATAACCTAAGAAATAGGATGAAACGACCTCTTAGATGCTATCTTAACAGTACAATTTGGCCTAATGAAATAAGAGAAGGAAAATGCTATACAACTTATCAGCTCCCTGATTTTTTATTAAAAGAAATTTAACAGCTAAAGCCTACGAGAGTCATTTTGGATCTGAAGCTTTAACTTGATCATTCAAGCTACGTTTATCCTGTGGATCTTGTGAGATAGACATAAGTGAAGATGAGGACATAATTATATAGGGTAAGTCATATCAAAAGCTATGTAATTTGTGACTGTTTCATTTTGATGTTTTTTCTAGATGTGTCTCGCGCAAATCTAGATGTTTTTTTGGCCCGTTTCTAGATGTTTTCTGTCAAAGAAAAGTGGCAACACTGGACAGAAGAAACTACTTTAGAAAAACCATTTCGATTTCGGAGTGGTCTCCCGTCAGTGTTATTACTGTTTCTTTCAATTGAAGTTTTTCTCTTGACGTGGACTTGTTTACACATTTTAGCACAGGGAATCAAAAGTTTATGAAACTATGAGAACCGAATATAATGATTATACCACACTTTATCCGTAATAATCGGTAAATAAACCTTTATTTCAAAGTTATATGGCGTCATATTTGGAATCGGCATCTGCTACGGACAGCAGTAGCAGAAATTATGGATTCGGCTTTGGGAAGAAAGGAACATACAGCAATGTTGGATTGCTAAATAAATATTACAAGGGTTCTGAAATACAGAATACAAAATCCGCGAGAGTGTATGTTTTCGGAGATGGTGACAGTGCAGTCGATGACGAGAATGTTGAATTTGAAATGCCAGAATTAAAAATGCGGTCCCGGTCGAAAGGATCCTCTAGTAATTTCAGTAATACTTTACAGTTGGAGGAAGAACTACAACAGCCTGCATATTTCATAAAAGAAATTGCAGATGGTGAAACATTGCAGGCTATTGCACTGAAATATGCTTGTCCGGTAAGTAGCAGAAACTCATTTATATGACCTGTTTGTATGTTACAAATAAATGGGCTACATGCACCAAACAAAATATCACTTACTTTGCCAACTTCGAGACCTGCTCCATCATAGTTCACTTAAAATAATTAATAATATAACAAAATGAGGCTCTCCTGTCAACTACGGCCGGTAGACAGCAGTAGAAGGCCAGTTAGTCGGAGTTCTGTCCCTTGGCTACAGTGCAATTACGGAGTGGAAAAGGAGGGAACGAAACAATTGACACGATTACTGTGTGTTGGCTTAGACAGCGTGCACTGCCCTGCTATAATCATACGGTTAGGGTTAGAGTTAGGGGTTGGGTTAGGGTTAGCGTTGCGGTTAGTGTCGCCGCATCTCGTCTTCGCAGAAACTCAACGTAGCAACCCAAACCCTAACCCTAACCCACACCCTAAACCTAACCCAAACCCTACCCCTAACCGTATGATGACAGTAAGTCACTGCACGCTGTCTATCGCCAGCACACAGTAATTATGTCACTTGTGTCCTTCCCTCTAATCCACTCCGTAATGCGTCGCAAGAAGCGGTAATTGAACGCGGTCGCTAACTTGAGTTGCAGCGCGGGTTCTGCCAGGCATTTCGACCTCACTTTGTTTTTTGATTCGTGCCTTCTCCAGTCCATAATTGCACTGCAGCCGTCAACTGTTGTCTACCGGCCGTAGTTTACAGGAGAGCCTAAAATGTATGTATGATTTGGGGCTGCTGAGGTTGAAGGACCAAGTCTTTCACAGTCCCAGACCTTTGGGCACTTGTATTATGTGTAGTCGGTAGCCTGTCTGAAGATTTAGTGTCCATACTGGCAAATACTCCAAGAATTTCAATTGCTTTGCCTCGCCACATTTGTCAAGTTCCACCAGTACTGGCCTTGCCCTACCTGTCTGCTTTCCACTGGTTTATGAACTTGGAGAAAGGAAGGAGAGCTCTGCAGTAGACTCTGTGGAGATGGTGCTTTTTGTACTGGACTGGGAGGAAAGTCTTTACACCAGCTTCACTCCGATAAAGGCAAGCCTCAAACAGCTTCATCTTTTTCTTCTGCTTTTGCCTTTAAAAGGGCAGCTGGCACCTTATATTGTGATTTACAGCTTGGCTGCAATATCTGCAACCTTATGACTCCACAGATCCAATTTAAGAAAACTCCTTATTAGTTGGTGAGGATATTCTGGTGTGCGGGGTAATGAACAGGCTGATAGATAAACTACTGCCGTTCCTCTGAGTGGTAACCTACTTTATGATGAAGTACACGTGGTACAGGTTCTGTGCTCAGGCGGACAGTGCAGTGAGAAAAAAAAACAGAGTATCTGTACCTTTAAAGACTTATTCAGCACGAGTAGGAGAATAAAATAGGGAGGGTGGTGTACAGAAATTCTAGATCAGTGGTCTTCAGCTGGGGGCGCCCGACACTCTCCATGGGGGAAAGGGGCGAGGGGGAGGGTGGGATGGATCATGCAGTCTTAAAATTGAGTGCGTTTGTACCTGTAATAATTCAGATTTTCTGCTTTAACAATCACAGAAACAAAACAATGTTGCCACCTTGATGTTCAGAGTGATCTCCATTATGCCTTGTCCAACATAAGTTTTAAAAAAACCACACACAAAAACCGATATTATCAAGGAAAAACAGTGTCAACCATCACTTGGATATTTGGATACTAAATTACCAATTTTTGGTGATTGTTTTTGTGTGTGCTTATTTGATACTTTATTTTATGTGGATGTGTTTCTCCAAATTCTTGTTAGCAGCCCTTGGGTGCCACCTGAAAACGGTTGAGACCACTGTTCTAGATGATATTCAACACTGAAGGGGAAAACATAAGCAGAGCAGATTTGTAATCAGGTTGCATCTGGCACTATAAGTAGCGTATGGGGACTGTTCACTAATTTTTGAGGAAGAAAACAGAACACATGTGTGATCTCCTGCATGATTTCAGTTCTTGATTTGTTCAATGCTAATTGTTTGTCTTTTACAACATGCTTATTAGGGGACAGTCTAGTATTCGCATCAGAACATCCTTGCTAAAGGAAGAAAGCTTCCCCACTTATCTTGGAGTGACATTCGATAAAGGGCTCACGTGGAGCAAACTTACAGAAAATGTAGAAGGGAAGGCCAGAAGACCACTAGGGCTACTTAGAAAACTGGCAGGTACAAGTTGGGGAGCAAATGCAAAAACCCTAAATGAAGTTTATAATGGAGCGATAAGACCCCATTTGGAGTTTAGTGCAACATCTTGGTCATCAGCTGCTTATTCCCATCTGCAATTGTTAGACAGAGTGCAAAATCAAGCCCTTAGACTCATCACAGGATCCATGAAAACTGCGCCGATCCTGGAGATGTAAAAAAATAACTGCAAAGTCTTATAGACAAGACACTAAAACTATGATCCAGATAGAGAAGTTAAATAGTATGTGGTGACATCCAATGAATTCAAGATTGGATGATCTGGCATTAGGGTGTCTCAAACGTAGCAGCTTTGTCAACTGGAGAAGACTTAAAAGACAGTATCAAGCTGATCTACCCATGAGAACAACACCACTGAAACCTACCCTATACCCTGTACCTTGGGAGTAAGTCAGTGACACAGTACAGATAATTACTTCAGTCAATGGACATAGCTGGAGATGAGTCCAATGACTTTAAAAAATAAACAGCTGATCTTAGTATGATTCAAGAAAACTCTCCTGGACAGTCGTGGATACATGCTTACACAGATGGATCAGCAATAAAAATGGGTTGCTGGCGACTTTATTACATAGCAGGCAACTACTGCCACACAAAGTATATACCCATGGGTAAATTCTGTTCCAGCTACACAGCAGAGATTGTAGCACTAGAGCAGGCTGCTGAAATGCTACACAATACCAGTTCTGACTGCCAAAAAGTGGTCATCTTTACAGATGCGCTATCAATGCTCCAAGCCCTCAAGTGTGGTAAACTCTCTCAACTGTAATCTGAACTTGGCAAGGTGGCCACCCAAAAGTGTACTGTACTCCAGTGGGTGCCATCCCACTGTGGTGTACCAGGAAACAAAACAGTAGATAAACTTGCTAAGAAAGGGGCAGAATGTGAACAGGAAGAGAATGCAGTAACATACTATGAGAAGAAAATGGCCATCCAGTCAAAAGAAATGAACATAGTCTGGCTAGAGAGGACTACCACTTACTTGACCGGCATGGGCAGGTCATTATTCTACACCTCAGAACAGGACAAAACAAACTCAACAAGCATATGCACAGGCTTTGTCTAAGTAGTTCAACTTTGTGCCCTTTTGGGCTGTGTGTGCAGACTGTAGAACATGTCCTGCAAAAATGTCCCTTGTACAACCCATTAAAAAGGGAATACTGGCCCATGGAGTCAACACTGACCTCGAGCTGTATAGAACTAAAAAGGTACTTCTAAAAACTGTCCAGTTTATCACAAGAACTTGTCTGTGGGTATATATCAGAAAGTGAACACAAGAAGAAGAAGGAAGAGGAGACAGTAGGTCTCTCCCCCCCCCCCTCTCTTTTTTCCCAAATGAGGCCTCTAACCCACTCAGAGAAAACAATATGAATATCACACATCAAATGTAGGAGTTAAAACTAACAGCTTTCTCAAAGATTGTCCTCTGAGCAGCAAACATATGTTTAATTGAATTTTTTTATTCTGTAAAACAAAGACACTTCGCAGACTTGATCTTTGTATAATCAAATAGTCTGGTAATCACAGTTTAGACAGGAGTAAACAGGTCCCCCTGTAGTTGCTCCGTTCCTTTGCCATCAAACCCAAAAGAATGTCTATCACTGTCACTTGTGGAAAAATTGACCCAGACTGCAGTCTCAGCAAATCCAGTAGCTTACACTCACATTAAATGCATAAAGTGGCTGTCAAAAGTACCAGGTCAAATAGTCCGACACTAAAAATGCAGTGCATCATTGATGGAAGCATCAATTACAGCAGATCAGTTGTTGCACACATGGTTAATCGCGTAAGGCCACTCGCCATTTTCGGAATCTGCAGCTCACAACACAGACCATGCTGGGCAGTTGAAAAACATTCCAAATGTTCACAGTAAAACTATATTCTTTCAGTCTACATAAGGAGGAAAATTCAACGGCCAGCTGTTGTGAAAAGCAGAAACTTGTCATGACTAAAACAGCTAACCTGCCCATCCTCCCTCTTGACCGAAAGCCTGTCTGTGTCGTTGTGTTTTATGAATATTTTCTTCATGGTATAGACATAATACCTAAACCAGATTTTTCAAAAACCTGTTTATATAACCATAATACCTATGGTGGTCCTTTTTTTTTCTTTTCCTCTAACTTTCCTACTGTCACGAGATACTCTAGTTTTTCTACTTCTTTCAAGACATCTTCATTACTCATTTTATCTGTCCAGGGTATTCTCATCATTCGTCTATAAAACCACATCTTCACAGCTTCAGAATAATTTTTCATCAATCTAGCTACAAGCATGATGTAGGAGGGGACTAATTATAGAGTTTTTCCTTTGAAGCTGCAGTGCATCTCTGCTATAGACATGAGGTACTAAAAGTCTGTGCACCAATAAGCCAGATCTGTAAAGCTGATGTGCACACATAAACTCTTTGAGTCCCAGGGGGTTTAGCATCACAGGCCCAAGGGGTAGTCAAGAGAGACGTAAAATCAGCACATCATGCGTTCATCGGGCCTCTAGGTAAGAATCTATAAACGTATGATGCGTTCCTTGGGACTCGAAGAGTTAAGTTCTGGAACAAAACCCTAAAGTCCAGAATTTGATGAACAACGACAACTTCCTTCCAGTTTCCAACCAGTGAATGATAATAAGAAAAATAAGATATGACCATAAAGCTAGACACTTTTTATTATCTCTGACTAGATCTAGCTAAATCAAATCAAGAAACTATTTATATACTTAAATAGTTAGATGTTTACTTTCTTCACTGTCTAGATCTATTTAAATCATATTAAGAACTTGTTCACGTAATCAGAAAGTTAGTAACTTATTTTTTTCATCATCTAAATCCAGCTTAATCAAACGAAGAAGCTTCATAAAATCAAACCAGATAATATAGTCTTTACTCTCTTGGTCAAGCTAAATCAAATAAAGAAATTGTTCACGTAATTAAAACATGTTTTTTCTTCTGAATTTACTATATAAAAAATTATGAATGTTTTTATCATTGAATTTGCCAGGTTTCTGAATTGAAGAGACTCAACAAATTAATCCAAGATCAAGAATTCTATGGTCTTAAAGTATTAAAAGTCCCAATGAAAAAATATGGAATACTTTCTGAAGAAATAGCAAATGAAGCTAAAGACAGCAAACATTTCCAGCATTCCAGATCTGCAACTGCCACATCACTGACCTCTGACACAGAAGCAGAACCTTACAGTAATTATTTTGAAGAAAGTGACTCACAGCATGACTTCAGCGATCCTGAAACGCAGATGAAAATCATGAGAACTTTAAGCATAAGGGACAATTTTTCTTCTCAGGGAAAAGATGCGGAACTGTTTCTGAAGAGAATGGATGATGATCTGAAGAGGTTGAAGCAGTCTTCCAGGCATGAACGTGAGTCACTTAGCGAAGTGATTTCAGTGCTTACAAATAAGAGTATTCAGCCTCTACAGATGAGCAGACCCAGTGACAAGCAGAAAGGAGCAAGTTCTGTTGTGAGCTGGTGGACAATCATTTGTATATCAGTTACTGTTGGGATAATTGTACCTTTGGTTCTTTTTCTTTATATAAAATATGTTTTAAATAATCATTGATGATATTGTAACAGTGATCAGTTCATGGTGGCTTGGTACATGTTTTATTTAAACAAAGGCGTCAGACAGATGCTGGTTCCATATTTGCTTAAACCAGTTATCTCCAACCTTTCTCATGTGCCCCCCCCCCCCCCCCTCCCCAAATAACAAAATGTGATAAAAAAGAGGAGGACAGTAAAATCAAAGTCGCTAGCACTGTTAACAAGGACTTGGAGAGAAACATGCACATAAAACAGAGTGTGAAATAACAAAAGAAAGTCACTACAAATGTGTAATTTAGTGTCCGTATATCAGTGTGATGGTTGACGCAGTTTTGTTTTGATGATATCAGCTATTTTTGGTCTGGGTTTGGACAAGGAACAATGAAGATCACTCAGCTGTTTTGTTTTCGCAACTGTTAAGGCTAAAAATCCAGACTGTTACAAGAACAGATGCACTCAATTTTCAAAATTGCTTGACGCCCCTTTTGAAACTTATTTGCGCCCTGCCCCCCCCCCCCCTTTATAGCTTACTCATGCCGCTAGTTTAAACACACCAGTTTAAACACACTGTATGGTAAAAATAGTTTATATTTAGTGCCTTGGTCTCACTGCCTGAGGTTATATTATATCTCAGCATCAGCTGTTAAGGTTCTGGAATCTAACTTTCCTTAGCAGGATATTTCACACTTACCCGTGAAGTTTTTGTACCTGTTACTATAGGGACAGTTGCTCCTGTAGTTTTCTTTTAAATACAGTTAAGTTTTAAATGCTTATTGGACATGACCATAAGTGCTCCGATCTCCTCCTGAGTTTGTCTCCAAGTGTTTTTAGGCTAACAACTCCCATTCTTTTTGGCTGATGTAGCCACGGGTGGCTCCCGCATGATTTTCCTGTCTTGCCGCTCCAATTGTTACACCCACTGTATGCAATCTATTCAGCGAAAAATCACACCTATAGATGCTCTATTACCTGCAGCAAATATCTTGCCCTGGAAACACAAACAAAAATAGGTTATAACCCTGTTAGAATTCCAGAAAAAAATGAAAACAAAACTTTTCCATAATATATTAGTTTAAAATGTATTTATGTACATTCTCTGGGTGCATTCCAACCCGGGTCACGAATCCGGGTCTCGTTATCCTGTTGCAAGGTTGAGTCTTGTCAGGAATACTAAGGGACACATTGATTTAAAAAAAAACAAAAAAAGCATGAGAGCCTGCCATTCTTAATGCTGTTTCTAACATTGTGGACCCTTGTCTTAAGACCTGTATTTGCTTGTTGCGATTATAAGGTTGATACATATCAGTCCGTTTATTCGACAGCCAGAGGCTTTTTCTGCTGCTTCACCCAGCTGTGTCAATGCCCCAGAAAACAGCGAGTAGCATTAACTATACATCTCGCAAAAAAAGTCACCATAGAAAAGTCGGTGAAGTGACATTTACGTGGAACTGGCCCCATTTGGAAGTGTTGGTTTTATGGCTTCTTGGGGCAGAAGGGTACAGATGTAAATGCTGACTGCTCCAGCAGCACACTGGTTTGTCTACACATCATACTCTTCCTTTCTTGCCATATCCATACTTGATTCCAAAATGTTTCAAACAGTCAGTGGTGAAGCTGTAAAGAGGACCCATTTACGATGGTTTGGTATAGTTATGTTTTAAACAAAATCAAGAACAGTATTCATTTAGTGCCTTGCTGAAGTTGTATCTTACCATAAATAGGGTTGTTGAACCTGAATTTTCGGCAGGCTATTTCCTACCTGGGAGTCGCCGTGGGGGAGTGGCTAGATGCTCGCCGTGGATTGGAAGGTCGTGGGTTCGCTCCCAGACTTTTAAAAAAAAGTGACCTGGGCTCTCAGGTCGACTCAGCCTTAAATGGGTCCCGAGAAGTAGAGGCAGCCGGTGTGATGCTGACCACATTACCCATCTTGTGCCGATTAGTCTATAAAATATAGGTCTAGCCCTATACACCTAAAAGCGTGGAAAAGGCTCCTATACTTTTTTAAAAATTTCCTACCTGAAGCTTGTGTATCAGTTATTGTAGGGATTATTGTACTGTGGTTCTTTTCCTGTATATAAAGTATGTTTTAAATGGTCGTCAGCTCTGTGGCTACGTCAATGCGAATACTTCCTAATGCCAGGATCCGGGTTCGATTCCAGCTTGCATTGGTTTTGACAGTGGTATCAAGAAAGCCGACCGTCCAGAATGGAATGGCAAACTACTGGTAATAAATTTGCCTAGAAAAACCACACAACAGCCAGGGGCTGTTGGTGTTTGTTCTGCAGCGTTCTGTAAAGGATACCCAACTAACCTTTAAATAGTCATTGATAAAACTATAAAGATGATCTGTTTATAATGGCTTGTTTCATGTTTAGTATGAACAAAAGCATCGAAGAGATGCTGACTAACTATTTATTTTAAAAACTATGGTTTAAACCTGTATTTTTTCAATGCCTTGGTCTCTCTTATTTGCCCAAACTTACATTCTGTTTCTGACATCACCAGTAGGGCTTCTTGTATCATACTATTTAGGCGTGTTATTTCCCAACCACTCCTTGATGTTTGTTCCCTCTATTTTTGTATATTTTAACATTCAGGAGAGTTAGAAAAAGAATTCTTGCTTGATACATACATCCAGTTTTAACATATGGCTGTGAATCCTGGACAATCGGTAGGCAGGCCAAACAATTTCTTGAGGCCTCAGAGATGTGGTTTTACAGAAGAATGCTTAGAATACCTTGGACAGCTAAAAAGAGCAACCAAGAGGTTTTGAAAGAGGCGGGATCCCGAAGACAACTTATCACAGACATTAGAAGGAGACAGCCGTCATTTTTCGGCCATGTTATGAGAAGAGGGAAAATAGAACATGTTGTGACCACTGGAAAGATCTGTGGAAGGAGGGATAGAGGAAGACAACGAGAGAAGATGCTTGACAGTCTTGTTGCATGGCATGGAGGTGTGTCGGCACACGAACTAATACATGCTGCAGGAGATCGCAGATTATGGAGAGGCATGATCGCCCACGCCAGTCGGCAAGGCACGTGATGATGATGAACATCTAGGAAAGAATAAGTTAATGCAAAATGCAACTAGGACACACAGATAACTACCAAATAGTTTGACCACAGTCCTTATAATTACAAACATGAAGACTATTTAGCTGTAGAAAAGAAATAAAACAATTTCACACACGCAGAAATTCTCATGATGAAAAATCCACACTAAGACATACCCAGAATTTTATTTTGTTTTTCATATATCACTAATCTGAAACCATAAATATTTTTCTTACACTAAATTATTTCCGTGGCGTAAATTAATCGGTATATGTTTTTTGCTCTTAATATTGTTCACTTTGTGTTGCCTGATTTCTTCTTAGTGTTTACTGGCTGCAAACTCCGGCGGAAAGTTCTGGTTGTTTGTCCACCTGTGGTCTCTAGTTTTGTTCCAGAACCTGGATATTGGGCGCCCATCTGTTTGACACATCTGGCCTATTTGTGTCCAGACTGTTGGTTCCTTGCCTCTCAGGCAGATGAACTCTGACTTCGATGGAAGCTGTCAGTTAGACTCTTGTGACATGCTTGTTGGGAAGGCAGTGAATCTGTTCTTGTTTTCCCTGGCCTGGAATCCACATGGGGAGTTGCCAGATCTGAATTTGTTTCATTAACTTTTCCTTCTGTGATACTTAACCTTTCTTTATTGCCTACATTTGAAAAATTGTCCTTTGTTTTGATCTACTTGTTTGTGACTTTGCATATGTTACTAAAGAGTTGCTCAAATGCAAAGATACTGATCTAAAATTGTAGGTTTCTGTTTAAATTAACATCATCGTAATATTTTGGAGCTGTTTCTATACAGGGCTTTTTTCTCAGTGACATGTTGTTATGTATTCAAGATATACAGTCATGTGGATAAAAGATATGTAATTATGTTTTTATCATATTTAAATCACACTGAATTCATATATATGCTGGGTTATACCCTCTGAGCTGTGATAGCATGTAAGTCTTAGTCTTAGTCAACTTCACTGCAATCGGGTCACCTCCATACTTGCTCCATTCCTGCCCCAGTGAAAATCAAATGAAATGTCCCTCACTGTCCCATTTAAAAAAAAAAAAAAACACAGCAACTGGTGAACAAACAGTTAACCCAGGCACTGTCTAGAAATATGCGCATGCAGTAAATGCATATGGCAGTTGCTAGAAGTGCCAGAGCCAACAGTTGCCACCAGAAGTGTAGTTTGCAATTCCCACAGGGTCAGGATTCATTTTTGTTTAAGCTTAAGATGACAGGGTTAAACTCAGAACTGTCGCGACAGGCAACCACACTAATAGTTACACCACAGTAGCTGCATACATAGTATACAAGAATGTAATGATGGTTCAATATACAGTGCAGACTGCTTAACTCTTTCTGGATATCTCGATGGCAGAATCAATCATGTTTAGGCATATCACCGATTCATGAATTGCTGACACAGACACTCTAATACTGTTTCATTTGCTAGGAAACTGATTTTGTGTGAACCTGTTTTGAAAAACTAAAATTAGTGAAATGAAGTATATCTGTTTTAGGCTTTAATTTTGAAGTTGTTTAAAGTGCGATACAATGTTGTTGTGTTTTCAGTTTGGTTGTTCTGAAAATTGACATGTCACACAAAATGGTCATAAAATGTATAGCCTTTCATCGTCTCAAAATAAAGACTAGCTGATATATGAAAAAAAAAAAAGGTACGTGAATTCTTAGAAATGGATAACAATTTTGCTAATCAAGTTAGGTGAGTTCTTATCGGGTAACACTGTAATAAATGCAAAAATTATGTGATCAAGCAGTTATGTTACATTTACATTGGTCAGTAAGCTATGATAATCATTTTTGTTGTATTTCTCTGAAATTATTATTTGGTTTTGTGTGGCTTCCACACAGCATGAACTGTATCTGGGGATTTGTACAAAATCATTGGTAGACGTGGGCGTCAATTTGTATAATAATATTAATAAACAGTGTTACAATCCTAGA